TCAGCGCTGTCACTGTTCTCTAGGCTGCAGTGCCCACTGTTCTCTAGGCTGCAGCGCCCACTGTCAGCGCTGTCACTGTTCTCTAGGCTGCAGCGCCTGCGATCAGGGTTTGCTGCTCTTCCTGTACGGTTGCTCTATGTTCATATTCAGGCAGCACCAGTGCGCGTATTTCTTCCCCAGGAAGCTTTTCCTGACACTGGTGTCACCTGCTCTACTAGACTATGGTAAGTTTACCACTTACCAATATTTTCCTTTATGGCACTTATCAAAATTAAGTTTATAACTGGTGTGTGCTATGAGTCCTACACAGATGCAAGGCCCGAGAACACAAGTTAACTACTAAATTAAAGAAAGTTCTCTGGACAGAGGAGGGGGTGCCTGAACCAGCCTTGGCCCGTGACCATACTGATGAATATTTTGCTTATCACCATAGATCCCTCACCTGGCGTTGGATGACGATACAGATGGAGGCCCGCGTTGGAGCACCGAACTGAGCCCCCCAAGTTCCAAACGAGGAGCAAAAGGAGGAAGAAAATGACGAAGGACTGCGAGGGATACTATCACCCACTGATACAAGGGGTCGGATCTAATGAGAGTTTACCAAGGCCAGATGGACCGTGACTGAAAGAGCATGTGATCCAACCAGATTCTCTGAATGTGGTTGGATTTTCTGAATGTGGCTGGCCTGCAGTCTTTCCGAGAAGCCATTGACAATGACACTGGGACTGGTTTCCTCTGCATATACTGGATTTTTGGGATCCAGTCTGTTTGGATGCTCACCTTCCTGGACCTGGAGTGAGGGGGGAGGAACTTGGACTTCCCACAGGGCAGGAGACCCTGACTTCCCTTGGGGACAAAGAGGGAGGAGGAGAGGGAGGGGGGGAGTGGGAGGGCGTTGGGAGGAGGGGCGTAAATGGAAACTTTTTATAATTTAATAAAATTACTAAAAGAAAAAAAAAAAAGAACTCAGTGCCTGGCATATGTCAGTTCCTTAAAGTAATTTTTTGAATGACTATATCAGCATAAATAAAATTTCAAAATCTAGGCGCCTAAAAGATTAATACTCTTGGGTACAATACACGTCATTATTAAGGTAGTTCTTTTAAAACTTGATTTAAAATCTGTATGCAACATTTTTTAGTTTGAAAAGCAAGATTTTTTTTTTCTCAAGACAGAGTTTTTCTGTGTACCTCTGTCTGTTCAGGAACTTGCTCTGGCCTCGAACTCCCACAGATCCACCTGCCTCTGTCTCCTGAGAACTGGAATTAAAGGCATGCACCACCACTACCCAGCTTAGAAACAAGTTCTATTGATAGAATTTTCATATCACATAATTAATCATTTAAATTATATAATTCAATGTTTTCCATGTACTTAACAAGGTGTATGATTACTACCATATTCTGATTTTAGAACTTTCTTGAGTCCCCTGAAGTCCCCGCCTCCAGGTCCCCACAGCTTTTAGCACCACTCCCTGGTCTGGCCCTTGCAGAGGGGGGTACACTGCCCTGCTATCAGTCTTCACAGTATGGGTCACATAATATGGATACTTTTCACCGAGCTCAGTTTAATACCATATGCTATGCTATGCTAGTACTTTTTCCTTTTTAAAAACTACCAAATATATCTGTTGTATTAAAACATGAACTCAAAAGGTTCCATTTATTTCGTGTGTATGTCATGCCTGTGGAAGTCAGAGGACAGCCTGTCAGAGCTGGTTTTCTCCTTAACTCGGGTTTTCAGAAACTGTCTCATTAGGGGTCCTACTGCTATGAAGAAATACAACAACCAAAAGCAGCTCAGGAAGGAAACGGTTTATGGGCCTTCAGATTACAGTCTATCATTAGGGGAAGGAGGACAGAAAGGAACTTAGGGCAAGAGCCTGGCGGCAGAGACCATGGAGAAATGATGCTTGTTGGCTTGCTCTTCATAGCTTGCCCAGCTTGTTTTCTTACACACCTCAGGATCACCTGCCCAGGCACGGCGTTCCCCATCCCGGGTGAGACCCACCTATATAGTTAGTCAGGAAAAGGCACTATAGACTTGCAATACAGGCAATCACATGGAGGCAATTTCTCTGCTGAGGTTCCTTTTACCTGATCACTCTAGCTTGTGTACACTGCCAAAACCTAGGGGAGCAGGTGGCAAGTGCCCTTAGCCACCAAGCCATTTCCTTAAAACAAACAAACAAACAAACCTGAATTTATTTATTTTTGTTTTTTTTTTGAGACAGGGTCTCTCTACATAGCCCTACCTATTCTAGAATCTGCTAGATGACCAGGATGGCCTAGATCTCCCAAAGATCTACCTGCCTCTGCCTTCTGAGTGCTGGGATTAAAGATGTGAGCTGTTATGTCCAACTCTAAACCTGAATTTTGTTTTGTTTTTCAAGACAAGGTCTCTGGGTAGCCCTGGCTGTCCTAGAATTTTCTACATAGATCAGGCTGGCCTTGAACTCAAGAGACCCGCCTGCCTCTGCCTCTGTGAGTGCTGGGATTAAAGTCACACGCCACCACCAATGGGTTCTAAGCTTGAATTTTAATAAGAACACACACACAGCTGTCTTCCATTTGTCTCATTTTAAATTGCTTTCTGTTAAAATTAATATAGACAACCTGGAATGGGAAACCCAGGTCTTGCCTTTATTAGCAGAATGACAACTCACTGGCACAGTCTGAGACATCTTTGCTCTCTTGAGTCTTTCTTTCCTTTTCAGCCCTTGGCTCACTGTCCACAGCCCTGGGATCTTGGGCTGAGGCTTCATCATGGCCTCTCAGTGCACCCACCCTGTACTATCTGTAGTCCCACCTGAGGACAGACTGTAGGGAAGCTGTAATGGAGCCAGCTGACATTGCTGTAGGCAGTGCTCCAGCTGCTGACCGCTCCTAGGTGAGGCCAGACTTCCCCAAACTTGCCTCTACCTTGCCATACCAGCATTCCGTGGGCCCTGTCCTTCTCCTCCTTCACTTTCATTCTTTGAAAGCTAAGCTTCCTGGAGCTGATCACTGTTGATTACTTCATTTTCCATGCTTGGGTATTTATTTGATACCTGCTTTGAGCATTCAGAGATCTGGGCAGCATTTCTGTGCAGAAGTGATTTAAATCTGGTTCTTCCACACCTGTGTTAAAACTCTTTATAGAACTCCTACAAATAAGTGCAGGATGAGTCCTGGAGAAGTTCAGAGTGGGCCCCAAAGACCTGACCATGTGGAGCCAAAGAAACCATAGGGGATTTTAAAAGCTGTTAGCCGTGTTACAAAAAAAAGTGTCTCGATGTTTAATGAAAGAAAAATGCATCACTAAATTGATTTCTGGGGTTGATGTGATTTTGTTTCTTTGCCAGTGTTTATGTACTTTTGAAAACCATGACTGGCAGGCTAGGAGTGGACATGCAAAGTTACCACCTTTCCGATAAAGGGAGTGCCTCTTATCATTCCTTCTGGCAGGAACTCAGGACATCCCTTCATGTGTATGTGTATGCAACACATCATTTGCTTGCATAAAACACTTAAGGTAACCTACATTTTTCTTTGCAAGTTGGTAATATTTCATTACTTTTGTCTTCTGCTTTTGTGGCTTATGAGAAGATTGCCAAGAGGAGATGTGACAGAACTAGAAATGTATTCATTTCCAGGCTGGTGTGGGCCTTATTGGGAGAGCACTCGCCTAGCATGAGACCCTGGGTTCAATCCACAGTACCCCTCTCCTTGCCCTAACACATACGCGAGTGAGCGTGCACACACAGTCAAGCAAAGAGGCATTTAAAAAGATCGCTGACTTAGCCAGGCAGTGGTGGCACAGTCCTTTAATCTGGAAAGCAGAGGCAGGCAGATCTCTGAGTTCAAGATCAGCCTGGTCTACAGAGTGGGTTTAGGACAGCCTGGGCTACATAGAAAAACCCTGTCTCAGAAAACAAACCCACAACTCTGTATTTAAGAACACAGCTCTTCTCTGGCACTACATTATTCTAGTACACAAGTAAACACAAAGTAGACAGTCACGGGACAAAACAAAACTAACACCTCCCAACCCCCACCCCCACTAACAGCTTCTCTGCCCTGGATCCCACTCTGTAGACCAGTCTGGCCTTGAACTCAGAAGTCCACCTGCCTCTGCCTCCCCAACGCTGGGAATAAAGACGTGCACCACCAAACCCAGCACAAATCAACTTAAATTTTCAAAGTCCAAGTAATCTGGGCAAGACACACACCTGCAATCCCACACTGGGGAAGCAGAGGCAGGAGGACCTCACATTTGAGGTCATTCATGGCTAAAAGCAAGTGAGCTGCATGGGCGAGCTCAGGCTGGGGAGGCTGAGATGCTACATCCTCTCCTACCTTGTCTGTGCTCTTGGTGAACTTCATTGATCTCGTGTTTGTGATAAATTTCAACCAGTCTTAGATATTCAAGTGCTGATGATACAACTTCATGTTTCTTTCTCACCATGAAATCTGATCCTCTAAGGTGGCTGATGCAAAGACAAGAAACTCTAAGTTGAATTTTGTTGTTTTTGTAGGCTTAGTTTGAGACAGGCTAGGCTCAAATTCACATGTACTAATCACGGCCTTGAATACCTGCTTCTACCTCTCAGGTCTCGGGATCAAAGGTGTGCTTATCAAAATAGTTTGCAGAATGTGATAATCACCAGTCACTTAGAAAATTAATTTAGGAGTAGCCTAAGAGTATGACCATCCGAAGTTAACGTCTATGCTGAGAACATACCTCTGTCAAAAGCCATCTTGACATCTTCAATTAGGTCACTGAATCCTGATACCCGGTACAGTCCTTCAGAACTAAGACCTGGAAACAAAGCAGTAAAGCATGGGAACCGTTCTGCTGACTCACGCCTTTGCTTCACACATAACTCCTCTCCAGACTTCAAGCTGGACAAGTTATGTATTTAAAACACACATGATTAGAAAACTTTTCCCACTTTTCTCCTAAAATGAATCTGTTTCACTCAGTTTTTACTTCTGACCTAATGTCACCTGGGTATTTATAATTTGGCCATCACGTTGCCTAATTAGATCAGGTAACATTAAATCTTAAGGGAAATCATCCATCACCCAATTCTATCGTGAAATCTTTTATATAACAGAAGACCGAGAGCCTGCACCAGCAGGCCTGTGCCAGTTCTCCCAAGTGGGAAAGAATAATTAGGGTGCAGCTCAGGTTTCTGGTCTTTTCTGGTGTTTAATAGGGCATTTCTGCCTTTGTTTCCTGGCCTGAGTAGAATTTAAAACCCGAAAGGGGAATCCATTTCTGCACAGAGATCTCTGCAGACTGCAGGCATCACCCATTTATATACCCTAAATATTACTTTCCATAGCTGGTAAAATGCTCCATGAGGCCAAGCTGTCTGCTTATGCGCACACTGCAGACTCGAGAGCACGCGTCTTCTTACGCCCTTCTCCCCCCTCACTGGAGACAGCAGCAGTTCCACAACTGGCACCAGAGGGGCAAAGCGAAGGCTGCAGCCGCTGCATCGGAAATGCCTCACCTCTGGACTCGATCTCCCTGATGCACATATCCACCACCATGGGCCGCTTGGTGGTGTGCGCTTTGACGAGCGTGGTCAGGTCACAGCTGTACACCTTCTTCACATGCTTCAGGTCTGGCTTACAGTCGTTGGGGACCATCTTGGAGCACTGCTTGTGAACATTCAACCCACAATCTGTAGAAGGAAGAAAGGAAAAAGTTATGATTATTTTCAGTCTGGGCATTCTGGAGTGTTTCTCTGAGCAGAAGACACTTGCGGTGAACTGCACCTCCTCCCAGGAGATGTACAGCAGACCCCTCTCCTCAAAAAAGTTTGATTAGAACCCAGAGGTCAGGATTTTCTTTCTTTTTGAGAGAGAGTCTTACAATAAAGCCCTGCCTGACCTGGAACTCTCTATATAGACCAGGCTGGCCTCCAGATATCTGCCTGTCTCTGTCTCCTGAATTCCGGGACTAAAGGCATGTGTCATCACACCCAAAGAGGTCAGGATTCTTGCTAATAAGAATTCTTGTTAATAAGAATTAAATAACTTCATTTTTAAACTTCCTGAATGACCCCAGAAGAAGCAAAAATAAAATCAAGACAGATTCCCCACATCCAAATCAGTAAGTGTTCCATAATTATACACAACAGAATGTCACATCAGCAAGGCTAAGATCTGAGTGTGTTTGCTTTTGTCATAATTCTATGACCTGTTGAAAGGGGTGACGTTTTGGGAGGTGCTGTGCCCTTTTCACATATAAGTCAGTGTCGCTGTGAAGAGCCTATGGGAGAGTTCTCTCTCTTCTGTCATGGAGAATACAGACAGGAGCTCCTAACGAATACTGGTACCTTGACCTTTCTACCTCAGAACTCTGGTATCTAACATTTATTCTCTGTAAACTATCTAGTGGGAAGTTCTTTGATATATATAGCAGCACAAGATGGATCAGTCAGATATCTCAAGAAAATTTACACCTACTGTAAGTTGTAATCAAATTTCAAATCACTTGATATAAAGTAGAATTAGACACCCCAAATAAGTATATACAAGGTTTGCTTAAAATAAATCTGTTCCCATTTATATCTATTTGCAACTCCCCTATTTTGTTTTGTTTTTCCAAACAGGATTTCTCTGTATAGCCTTGGTTGTCCTTGAACTCACTCTTTAGACCAGGTTGACCTTGAACTCACTGAGATCCCCCCCCCCCTCTGCCTCCCAAGTGCTGGGATTAAAGGCACGCACCACCACCACCCAGCCACAAACCTTTTTTTTATAGGTAAGAGTACATATAATTTCTTGGGTACTCTCAAATAACCATTACCGTTCTTTTTACTACAAACAGTAACTAACATTTATGGAAGACTTAATATTATTACCAAGTACCATTAAAAGTGCCTTGTCTTTACTATTTCCTTTAAAACCACAAAAGTCTATCAAATAGCTACTGTTTCTTCTCATTTCCTATTTATATCTGAAACAAGGCAAGTTAAGGAATTTGTCCAAGCTACATAGTGGGGCTGGAACTCCACCTGATGGTGACTCTGGAGCCCTCAAGTCTCCATATGGATCATCTCTATTGAAGTTACTCCTATGGCTTTACAGGGCTGTAACATCTTGGGCAACAGAACCCAAGAACTTCCTGGTTAATATTTGAGATCCCTTTTCAATAACAAGAGTATAATGAAGTTTTATAATGGATGAAGAACAAAAGTGTTCTGCTAAATTAGACTTAAGTGATAAAATATACTGAATAAATAATTCAACTAAAATAAATGCCATTTTATGGTTTTTTTGTTTGTTTGTTTGTTTTAATTTTTAGAGACAGGGTTTTTCTGGCTTTGGAGCCTGCCCTAGAACTAGCTCTAGTAGACCAGGCTGGCCTCAAACTCACACAGGTCCGCCTACTTCTGCCTTTTGAGTGCTGGGATTAAAGGCGTGTGCTACCAACACCTGGGCATCTTTACGTTTTTCAGAATGTTTCGTTGGAGCAGTTTACGACAGCTCCTGCTTCTTGTCTGATAATCCCAACATTTCAAGTTTTGAGTTTAAGCTTTCCTGGTTTGTGGTAAGATAAATAATTCTGGACTGTATCTTGCTCCTGTAAATGCTGTGAGTCAGTGCCCACTCAAATCGTCCATCTCAGCGAGTTCTACTTCAAACTTACAATGCCAGGCCTGGCTCACCTTTGAAGATAAAATTAAAATGTTTACCTGGTCTATAAAACACCCTCCCTCTCTCCCTCTCTCGCTGTGTACCACATGTGTGCAGGCGGAGGCCAGAAGGCAGCACTGGATCCCCTGTATCTGGTCTATGGAGTTACAGGCTATTAAGAGCTGCCCTGTGTGGGTGCTGTGGTGCTGGAACCTGAACTCCTGGAAGAGCAAGAAGTCACTAAACTGTTGAACCAATTCTAGAAACTTTGTTTAGTACAGATCTCCAAGTTTTCTCATGGTTAATACAAATATCTTGTTATAACTTAATTTTTTTATGTGGTTGTAGGTGTTACAATTATTGAAGAAATAAAGTAAAATGCATATAGCCAGCTGGAAAACTCTTTTAAAGTGTATTAAAAGTCTGAAATTTGGCCAATTTTCATCACTTAGTAGTAGTTTGGCTATGTCCTGCACTTCATGTGGACCTGTGAAGAACAGCTGGGACAAGCCATCCTCGCGGTGTGTTCCCGCTACTGGGCTAGAAGAGCTGCGCTGTGACGGCACACGGCACACGGCACACGGCACACAGCCAGTCTGGCTCTGCTCATCACCTCACCCTCCTTCCTGCCCACAACACACTGCACACGCCAGTACTGTCAGTGCTGATGATGAACTATCTACGTTTAGTCTTTTGTTCAGTACTGTGTATCACATATATTCTCGAGTGTAAAAATGTTGCGGTATTTCACCTGTACCAGTCTTTCAATTATCTGTGCTTGATCTTGTAGGACTTTTACAAAGCAGTGATAAACCTAGATATTATATTCTTGTTTCTTAATTATTTAAATACGAATATTCATAAAACAATGAATAACTATCTTCCAAAATGTACATTAGCATAGTTCTGTTACCCTTTAACCTACCATTAGAATGTAAATGAATGACGTTGGTCATTCACTTCAAAGCATGGGTCTCTGTGCTTTCTAGAAGTGCATCATGCATGTACATAGAGAAGTCGGTGCATAGAAAGCCAGACAGCCTGAGGTCAGTAGTCTTAGTAATTTGTGTTAAGAAAATGCAGACTAAAGTGCAATGTGGATTCTTTGTTGCTCTTTTCCTGTCTTGGTCACAGTATATTTCTTCTCTTCTTCTTATTTTATTTCCAAGACAGGGTTTCTCTGTGTGGCCCTGGCTGTCCTAGAACTTGCTCTCTAGACCAGGTTGGTCTCAAATTCAGAGATCCACCTGCTTCTGCCTCCCGAGTGCTGTGAATTAAAGGTGTGTGCCACCATTGCCCAGCAATGTTTTGTATTTCTTATCTTGAGAAACTGGAGGATGAAATACAGTTTAATAACATAGAATTAACCTATAAAACCAAGAGATATAACAAATGACATCTATGGACCTATCTCTCATTTGCGTGTAACATCTTCTGGAGGAATAGAACTGCATATGACTTAAATACAAAAACAAAATAAGTCTTTTTTGTTTGTTTGCTTTTGTTTTGTTCTTTCAAGACAGTCTGTGTTGTCTGTGTAGCCCTCGCTGTCCTGGAACTCATCTGTAGACCAGACTGGCCTCGAGCTCACAGAGATCCACCTGCCTCTGCCTCCCACGTGCTAAGCCTTAATGGGAGACTGCAATGCGTGTGCTGCTCGTGCACTGATATATTCTCAGTGTTCTCAGAGCGTGTTTGGGCTGCTTTATTGCATTGTGAACTCAAGAATATAGAAAGATGCTGTAATTTTTGTGTATGGTGTTCTTCCTGCAGGGGGCAGGTCAGAGTCATGCAAATGGACAGAACTAGAAAAAACCATCCCAAGTGAGTAAAACCAGACTCAGAAAGATGAACATGGTATGTACTCACTCATAAGTGGACACTAGCTGTAAAGCAAAGGATAATGATTCTCTACAGTCCATGACCCTAGAGAAGCTAAGTAACAAGGTGAACCCTAAGAGAAACATATACAGATCCACATAGAAAGTGGAAATAGACAAGATGGCCTGACAAAATTGGAAGCATGGGGGTGGGGGAAGAAGGGAGGGTGGAAGGGGAAGAGGAGGGGAGAAGAAGAGTAGGGAGGAGAACTTGAGGGAAAGGGAATGTCAAGATGGAAGAAGGACCAGACTAGTCTTAAACTCAGGTCTCTGTCTCCTGAGTGCTGGGAAGCTATATCTACCAAAGTAGATTCTGTTTATTTAAAAAGAATTATTTTTGTTTTCTGAAGAGCATCACGGTGGATTTGTGGGGTTTCAATTGCTTTTGTTTTTAAGGCAGAGTCTCGTGTAGTCTAGGCTTGCCTTGAACTTCCTGTGTAGCTGAAAATGATCCCGAAATCCTGGTCTAGCCTGTCCCTCCTGAGTGTTGGAAGTATAAGCCTGCACACTATACTCCGTTTTTAAAGAATGTGTGCTGGGGAATGCATGATGTGAGACAAACACTCTGCTGAGTCACACTCCAGCCCTCCTTCTGTATTCAAACAAAGGCTGACATGTGCTCCACAGGTAACATTTTAAAGCACAGAATGAAAACTCTCCAGACTTTTCTTTTAGCTCCTGTCCTTTACTCATGGTAAGAGATAAAAGCTATACACGCGGTGCTGGAGGGCAGAGTTAAATCATTTTATTTTTCCTTGCTTCTGTTATCACTAAAACAGCTGTCCTAAGGCATTTCTACCAAATATGACTTGGGACTGTAGCATATTACCGCATATACTTTAGACACCGTGGGGCTGTTTTTCGCTGCTGTCTGACAGGATTCTCATGTACATGGTCTTTACTCTTTCCAAAGGTAAATGGTACACATCATTAATTCGTAGAAAACTTTACATTAGTGACTGTCACATGCTAAGAAACTCTCTCAGTGTCAGCTGGTCAAGGATGTCTCACAAAAGGCAAATGAGGCTGACTGAGACCCTCACTCCTTCAACAGGAGACCTGCTGTGGAAGGTGTATGTTATCTGCCTTTGAACAACCATGAAAATCAGTGGTTCTCAACCTGTGGGTCAACATATGGGTTGTACATCAGATATTCGCATTACAATTCATAACAGTAGCAAAATTGCAGTTATGAAGCAGCAACAAAAATAATTTTATAGTTTGGGGTCACCACAACATGAGAGACCATATTAAAGGGTTGCAGCATTAGGAAGGTTGAGAACCACTGATCTTGATGGTCTTTCTACCACAGTGACCAACACTTTCCAGCCCTGCTACTGCCCTTTAGTTCAGAGAAAATACCATAGCCTTCCAAGGAGGCTTCCTTGTGGACTCTTATACCCAAATCAGAGCTGAGGCACTCCTGGACAGACCATTCTGCACACCTAAGACCCACTGTGACATGTTATCCTTCTCCCTATGTCAGGGAGCATCCTGAATAGGACTGGCCTGTGACACATGTCTGGAAACTGAGAACTCCTCAGAGATGATCAGAGACTATTCACATGCAATACACATTGTGCTTTGTACTCAAAGCAACACACATAAACATGTCTGCATTTAATGCATAACAAAAATACTCAATCTTAAATCAGAAAAGAGAAATTAGGGTAGTTATCATTTTGAAATAATTTACTCTTAATATATTTCAGGAAAAAAAAAAGCCAGGGTTTTATGAATCTCAGGTTGGCCTTGAACTCACAACTCTGCTACATACAATTTTGAACTTCTGATCTTCCGGCTGTCACCTCCAGTGTGCTAGGATTACATGTGTATGGCACCGGGTCCAGGATTTTGAGGCTGTAGGGACTGAAACCAGGCCTTGAGCATGTTAAGCAAGTCCCTACCAACAGTCACATCCCCGGCCCTCTTAGCATACATCTGCGTAAAGCTTTATGCTAAAAGACATGTAAGAAGATGTTTTAGTTTCAAAAATTAAATAGCAGAACTTTAATGATCAAGTATAACATATTTAATATTTAGAGAAAATACTACATAATATTCTGCTTACATATATGTCTGGTGCCCACAGAGTTCAGAAGATGGCATCAGATCTCCTGAAACTGGAGCTACAGATGGTTTTGAGTCACCATATGGGTTCTGGGAACTGAACCTAGGTCCTCTGCAAGAGCAACAAGTGCTCTTAACCTCTGAGCCATCTCTCAAGCCTACCACATTGAGTTTTTCTTTATGGGTAAAAGGGTCTAAATGTAGAACAATAATACCATCATCATTTTTCACAAAAAGGATCTGTTACATTGAGCATCTTCATGTATCACAGAGAAAATATGAAAGATCAAGTACTTTTTCAGAACTTGGTAATCATCTTTGAGGATAAATCTGCAGACTTTTTACAGCTTTGACTTTCATTTAAAAAAATGTAGTTAGGACAATTCAGCTTACCAAGTCAGCTTTAAAATTCAGTTTCCAAGGCAACAATCTTATGTCCTGTTCACTGCTTAAAAAAACCAAAACCACTATAGACACAGTTAGTATAACACCAAGGACATGAATATAACCGAAGTGCTTCTGCTTCCGTCTGAAACAAGCTGGCCTCTTCCTTTTCAGGGAATTACACATATCCCTACTGCTCTGCCCACCAAGTGTGGGAAGGTTATGGCGAACACAAGCCCAGTCTTCATAGCGGCTGCTGGCACACGGGGAGAAGCAGGGGCTCTTACCTGCACATTTCACTCCCTGAGCAATGAGGCCCCACATGAAGTTGGCACAGTATTCACACCAGTGTGGCCCTCGGAACGTATGGACCTGGAAAAAGAATGGGGCAAAGTGGAGAAAGGGGAGACATGAGGAGGCTGTTGTGCATCAATCAAAGGAGCCTTACACAAGCTAGCTGAACTGAAGATGCAGCATGCGCATTTAGAAAACCGATCAAGTGGAACTGACAAGTGACATGTGTTTTCAGAACTTCATTTCTTCTTTTAGAAGGGATGACACATCAAATCGATAGACTGCAATTTCCTTCTGGAAACAATTTCTACCATGGAATTTTCCAATGAGTCGCCTCCTCAGGCACAGGGAGCCTTTTGACACTGACATACAAGTCTAAGTGTGAAGACTCCAAGGCTAAGAAGCAGGGTTGGCAATGTCTTGAGTCTGTAAAGATTTTGTCAGTCCAGTTTCCTGGGCAAAATGGGTTACGTATATTGAAGTGACCCTGGTTGAAACAGAATCATCAAACAGGGCCAATTCCTAAAAACATTTTATACTTACTGTGTTAACAACAAATGCATGTTAGTACCTATAAAAACTACAGTGAATGAGAAACCAAAAGCTGGCATTCCAGGCCTGTGAGATCGTGTTGGCTCCCACAGACTTTCATGCATACGAAAGGTAAGGATTATAACACTGGTGAAAAATATCACCAGAACAGAGATGCCATGAATCTGAACCTTCAATTAAATAACAGAACTAGGAAATCCTGCCTGATGTGGTGGCCCTGCTTCTTAATCCTATACTAGGGAGGCAGAGATTCCAGGTCATCAAGAACTGTACAGTGAAACCATGTCAGAGAGAGAGAGAGAGAGAGACAGACAGAGAGATGTGGAGAGGGAGGGAAGAAGGAGAAAGAAGGGTAAGGAAAGCAACAGTATTACCAATTTTGGGCAAACTCTGGTTGTAGGAAAACAACAACAACAAAAGAGAGGACACAGGAAGTCAGCTGAGGGACAGCCAGTTAGGGTTAATTAAGGTCATTTCCTCCTGCAGGAAACAAAACCATGGAGAAAAATCACCAAGTGTGATGATCTCCATGTGCAGATCTGCCAGCACAGTTCTGTAAACCGCAGCTAAAAATGTCACTTTCCATAACTGTGATATTAACCTACTGACTGGGTCTCAGAAACAAAGCAATGACTCTGGGATATGTATACGTATTTACATATATTACACAAATGAATTATTTCTTCAAACCTAAGATATCACAAGTATAACATTTCATTCAGAAAAACAATTCTCATTGAATAATGACACACATAATTATATAATAATTATAACGCTCAATTTCAAAGATGTTGAAATATGAAATAAAACGTCTCTAGTACAGTCAGTAAAATATGGCATATCAAAATTCTGGCACAAATGTAGAACTGGTACAAATATCCCTATGAGACTACAGAGGATAACCCACAGTTCATTCCAAATAGGTGTGTGTTTATGATTACAGCAAGAAAGTTTGAGAACCAGGTTTCATGTAATTTTGAAAAGTAGGCCAAAATTCCTTTTATATCTTTCATTAAAAGGATCAGAATACAATACACACTTGCCTCTGAACTGCTAATGATGTTCAGAGCCTATAAATTGAAAGCATTTCATGGAACCAAGATCAGCAGATTCTCTCCAATGCCCCTATGCTTGCTTCTCTGTGTTCCTCAGAATGAGTAAAACTGGACGAACCACACTTCACTCTGATGCAAATGTGAAGTAGACCACAGGCTCGAGCTCATACAAAAAGGCATGGACGATCAAATTATGATAGCATCCTAAAATTACTTGGGAGAAAGTCTCTGAGATACAAATTCGACCACAGGTTGCTGAGTCTCATGTTAAGTATGTATCACACAGATGAGTGATGTAGATGTGTAAAAATGCAATGAGAATATGAAGGAAATCCCAACAATTACTTTGCACACGACTTACCTTGGATTGAAGCATCTTGAGTTACAATAGGGAACAAGTCGTAGAGGTGTTTTGTTTATTACTTAAACACAAGAGCACTAACTACCAATGTTAGCACAGTCCTTTCTTCCCTTGTGAGGGCAGTGGTGAATACAGCATTTTAAAGACACAGGGCCTCTGTTCATATGACACATGCTGAAGGAAGAGTTAACTGTGCAAGCCCCATATTCTCTAATCAAAGGTTGCACGTGTATATCAGAAAGCAGCTGTTACAGAATTATTACTCATATACTTCAGGCTGGTACAGATCTTTTATAAAGGCATTCTGAACCATTTGTGGTTATTTTGTTGTAAAAGTTGTTAAGTAGCTTGCATACCCCAGCAAATTGCCTTAGAAGCATTAGCAGCTAGCTTAAGTCAGTTTGGAAGGGAAAGAATGGCAGGGAGAAAGTGGTCACTGACAGGACAGGTTCCTTAGGGCTAAATGAAGATAGGACCAGGCAGACAGTTAGCTGGATAGGAGGGACAGGAAGAGAACCCCCACAGGCATACCTTGGTCTCAGGTAGCACAGGTTGAAAATGAATGCTGCCAAGGCTGACCTTGAACACCTGACCCTTCCATCTCCATTTCCCAAGCGCTGGGATTATTGGCAGGTGCTACCTGACTAAGAGCAGCCTTTAAAGTTTTACAGCACAGAAGGGCAATTATAGCTAACAATCATTAGCTGTATATTTAAAATAGCTAGTAGAAAGAATTTTGAAAGCTATCAACACAAGGAAACAATAAATGGTTGAGTGAGGCTGATGATATTATCCCGGTCTGGTCATTACACTTGTGTTGAAATATTACAGTGTGTCCCCAAAGAATGTGTAATCACATGTTAATAGGAAGAAACAGCCCTTCACCTGTACAGAGCCGAGCACAATGCAAACAGGTGGTGTTTACTGCATACAATTCTACAGTCGCTGACATCTGCTAATGTTGTTACTAGAAATAGTTGTATTTTAATCATGTTTTTAAAAGGATTTAATCAAATGTAATGCATGCTCAACTCTAACAGAAAGGTCAAAAGTGGCACTGCTTAGGAGGGGACTAAGAAGGAAATGAGGAGAAAATAGAGGAAAGGACCGAAGTGGATTAGGAAGAAGCCCAAGGCCACAATAGTTTGGGTTTTACAAACGCTAACATGCTAGGCAAACAGCCTACCACTGAGCTCTAGCCCCAGCCCATCTGTCTGCCTATTTTTCAAGTCAGGGTCTTCTTGTAGAGCTCAGGCTGGCCTTGAACCCTCTCCCTCAGTCTCTTCAGCTCTGTTGTTACTGGTGCAGGCCACATGCCTACCTGACAAAAGTGAGTACTTTTGCCTGGAATGCTTTCCTCTCCATATAGAAGATGCCCACCAGGGACCAGCAGCAGGTCAGTACCTAAGGAATAAACACGACTGCACCCTGGATAAGCACACAGCTAAGAGGCGTGCACTCCGCAACACTGTCATCTCCATGTTTTCATCTAAAATGCTGAGGTTTTGCTTTTGTCTTCCTTTCTTACTCCTGCTCCCTTTCTTAACTCCTGGTTCTTAGCTATTGTCCTGGTTAGGTTTTTGTTTGTTTTGTTTGTCAATTCTGCACAAACCCAGACATATCTAGGGAGAGGAGATCTTAATTGAAAACTTGCCTCCATAAAACTGGCCTTTTTTGGGGGGGGGCTGGAGAAATGGCTCAGAGGTTAAGAGCATTGCCTGTTCTTCCAAAGGTCCTGAGTTCAATTCCCAGCAACCACATGGTGGTTCACAACCATCTATAATGGGGGCTGGTGCCCTCTTCTGGCCTGCAGGCATACACACAGACAGAATATTATATATGTAATAAATAAATAAGTTCTTTGTTTTGTTTTGTTTTTTAAAAAAGACTGGCCTGTAGGGCATTGTCTTAGCTAATGTTTGATGCTTCTCCTGGGCACAGGTGGTCCTGGGTCATATAAGAAAATCAGGCTGAGCAAGTTATGGTGAGCAAGCCAGTAAGCAGTGTTCCTCCATGGCCTCTGCATCAGCTCCAGGCTGACTTGCTTTGATGATTAAGCTGAAATAAACCCTTTGGCCCCCAAGTTCCTTTTAGGGTTATGGTGTTTATCACATTAACAGAAACCCTACGACTGCTGCAGACGAGGTAATCTAACGACAACCTTTTGTTAGCGGTGGATAGAAAACAGTAAAACATTTCATCTCAGACTTTTCCCATGACTTCTTTTGCTTTTCTCTTATTACATTCATTTATTTATATATATGCATTCACGGAAATCAGAACTTGGGGTAACTGGTTCTCGCCTTCCACCATGTGTGTTCTCAGGGATTGAACTCGGGTCCTCAAGATTGGCTTCAAGGGCCTTTACCTGCTTGAGCCATCAATCAGACCTTTCTGAGAAGTCTTCACTGCTACTTCCTCTCAGGCCCATTTCCCAAGTTACCTGCCAGTCAGAGTTTGGGGAATAACAAGGCTTAATCACACCTTCTAGCTCAGGAGGTGGCTGCCTGGCCCCCTTTGGAAGTTAAGAAAGCTCAGCGCCATCCTGACAGGCGGTCAGGATATGTCAATGTATTTCTGTTCCTTCCACTGTAACTATGTGGTCACCTGGGGAGGGGCTGTTTTCTGCCTACGTGACCAAGGGTATGTGAGTATACATGACTTGGGTCATCCCGAAGCCTTTTGTTACCTTCTCCCCCAGTTTACCTTGGGTAGAAAAGCTGTGGAAAAATAAATGTGGGTGATTTTCAGGATCTGTATAATCCCTGAAACTCCCTCCCGATACTGTCTTGTGGTTTCTGTCTTTATTTTCCCATGCCCCCACCCTGGTAAGAAGTATTGATGTTGAGGCTGGTCCTCAACAATGTCTGAAAAGGCTATTATATTTGGGGGCCTCATCCCAGCCTCTGGCACCCATCTTTGGAATACTGGTCAGGAAGCTCCATTTCAAGCCTCCTCTCCTGGGAGTTGCCTGGTCCAGACTTCACCTCTGGGAAAGCCCACCAAGCAGTGACCCCTTCCCCAGGGAGGTTCAGGACCACTCCCACAGGGTATGTAAATTGTCCCCCAGAGAATGTACACATGCTCTCTGGGTTTAGCGTGGTCTCCCC